ACATTAATCCCAATTCCAACTCTCACCTCTAACCCTGTATATTGTTTGACGAATTAAAGACCAAAGCAATAGACCGGTTAACTAACATAGGCTATTCAAATATATAGCCGTTTATATCCTGGCGGTTTGGAGTTATTCAATTCAATTCAAATTTAAATGAGGTTTTATTCATAACTTGTCAAAAAGTCCAAAGACTAAAAATGCAAGTTTACATCAATTGTACAATCATATAAAAAAGCATTCAAAAACATTTATATAAAGAAAACATAGCAAATGAGAACAAATATATAAAAATGAATAAATGTTTACATCAAAACATTAAGGCAGTAACAAAAAACAAAACATAAAGGATACAGAAACACACAAAATACAAAATTTTGCTAGCATTCTTCATCTAATATTCCATTAACCTGTTGTTCTTAAAAGAACTACAATATTTGGAATCCAGTTTGCATACATTGGCCCGAATTCACAAAGGAGGTTTGTCGACAAACCCTGGCTTCCTGGTTTGTAAAGAACAAAAGGAGGTTTGGCGAAACAAACCTTGGTTTGTCGACAAACCTCCTTTGTGAATTCGGGCCATTATGTTCTGCTTTGTCAGGCAAGCCTCGGACAGGCTTTAAGGTTGACAAGAACAACTTTGTTTGAAAGTATGCATACAGTTTAAATATGTTAGAAAACCTGTGTTTCGTTGTGGGGACAGATCAACGGAGCAGTTTCATCATCATATCCTGTTCGTTTTACATATTCTTTCAATTTCGTTTGTTTCTTATTTTCTGTTTGTTAGAAATAAAAAGGATTTTTGAAGAAATAAAAGAAGATTCTATATTGATTTCGTTTTAGAGATAAAAAATGATGATAAAATTGTCAATGCCTATAATACGACGTGTTTCTTTCTTCATTGACTTTTTCTTTGCTATTTTTATAAACAGAAACACTTGCTTTCCTAGAAAGAATAATCATGTCTTTTATTTTTAGAGATCTCGGTGCGCGTTGGCCTGTTATTTGTTGTTGTTTGTTCGTTGTTTTTATGTGGTCACAAGTGCCAAAATAAAATGTATTATTTATGTTTATCAATTATGATTCAAATCTTGAACTAACTCTTTTTGTTTGATATACTGATACCATCCTAATTCTTAAAACGTAGGAAAATTGGTGAAATATAAAATTGATAAAATTTTCCCCAGTAAAACGTTTTCAATTGCCACTTTCAGTTTTTGCTGGTTGTTTTTCATAATAAAACAAAATATCGATGATGCTCTAAGCTCTACTTTTAACCAAAATAAGGGTGTAAATCTAATTTCTATAATTGTATTGGGAATTAACTCTTCCTTATTTCCTTAATTCCGTGTATTTTTCCCTCTCTCTCTGTGCCGGGAGTCCTGTTTGGTAATGCTGTTCGAATGTGAATCATAATTTTGTTTTTTCGAAGGAAATATTCGGCATATGTCCTGTTCCAAAGGTGCAAAAGCGGAAGTTCACTCTTAAAGGAAATGTCTCCAATTTTCAAATCTCATGGAGGCACACGAGAGTATGGAATGCAAATCACTTGATTAAGATTTTTTTAAAAATATAACCCCCCCCCCCCAAAAAAAAGATATAAGAAAAATATTTGTACATTTTTGTATATGTAAGTTATTTTTAGTCATAGGATCGGAGGGTCCCCATGTACTATTTGAATGTTCTTAAATTCTTTATTAGCATAACTGTAGTTTCACATATTTTAAAAATTGTTTGTTCATTGTTTTTTCACGACAATGAAACTAAGGAAAAATAATGAAAGACAATATTGATGTGATTCCTTGCTAACCGAATATTTCAAATGCTTAGAGATGGAAAGAAAATTACAAGCAAAATACTTTTTTCAAGATAATACAAAAAGAAATCATTGACAAAGGAAAAACCGGCGAAGAGTTCTGTCTTTCAGTACATCAAAATATGTTTTGTTTCAATATACCCATAAATCAGTGTTTATCTGTATCATTGACAGTGGTCTAGCGTTAGAGTTGTTTTATGATTTTGTCTGATGACAATCACGATTTCACGATCTCATTCCTTGAGTTAATCTTATTCTTTCTTTATTTCTGAACTTATTTCTCACCTTCCTGCTTTCTTCTCTCTATCTTTCATTTTTTTTGATTTTTTTTGTTGATTTTCTTTCATTTTCCCGATATTTTTTTGTTTTGTTCTTGGTTGTCTTTTTCTCTTTCTTCTCTTCTTTGAGATCTTCTTCTTCTGCTTTTTCGTGAGTCGTTGCTCGTTTCTTTGTTTGCTTGTTTGTTTCTTCTGATGGACAGAAATATGATGGTGAAAATGGGTTTGAAGAAATTGTGTTCTGTGAAACATTTTGTAAGAAACCCTCCCCACTCTCTATCACTCTCTTTATCTCTCTCTTTGAACTATACTTAATCTGTCCCTGAAAACAAAATTATGAATTGATATTAAGTAATATTTCAATAATCATTTTCCGTTCTTTTTTCTTCGTGCATTCCAATATAACAAAAGATAATCATAAACGAGTGGCAACATTTCTAAAGATTAAACATCGGTAGTAAACAATACAATAAATTATAAAAAAACATGTTAATACATTTGACATGAAAATTTTACATTGGCAAAACGATGAATAACAAAGATAATGAAAATTAAAAGAAATTGATTTCAATTTAAATGTAAATGTCCTGATTAACCATTCTATGTAAAATAATTGATTTACAATTAAATGTCAAATAACGAATTTACACTTAAAAGTCAAATAACTGATTTACAACTAAATGTAAAATAACGGATTAACAATAAACGTCAAACTACGGATTTTACGATAAAATTTAAAATAACTGATTTACAATGTCAAAAAGCCTCTTTTGTATTTATTTATTTACGAAATTGATTATTGTCGCAATATAAACAGGACATGGGCCACATAGTATTGTTTTATTTTTCTGTTTATTGACGTTTTTTGGGAAGGGGAAATGTCTTTTAAGAGTCTAGATTTTTATTGATAAAGGCCGGGATTTTATTAACTCAATCTAAGTTGTTCAAACCACACACAACATTAGCAATCTTCAACCAGTCTACTATCGTTCACGTCGCTTTAATTTACGGAAGTATTCTATAAATAGACCCTGTAATACACTCCATGTAGGCAGCCATGACAACAATTATACCCAGGGCATAAAGCAGACTACATTGCGTTAGATCCGGGAACTTCCCTTAATACCCACTTACCCACTTACTTCCGAAATTAGATTTTGGTTGGGATGAAAATACTCAGGTTCAAATTTTGCATGACAACACAAACAAAAATCATTGGGGCAAAATACCCATCCTGTTTATTCAAACCTAAGTTTAAACAATCAATGATATATAAGGATTGATTGATTGAGGGTTTATCATTGCAAGAACGGTAGTCGGTAGGGCATCAGAAGTGTAAGAGAAATCAAGTCTCCATATCACTTTATTCCAAATTATACAAGTACCTAAAGAGGTAATACTTAATGGTCGAATTGAGAGAAAGTGTCTTTGAAGTTATTCTGTTTATAGGAAAGGAGCGGAGTTAAGTCTTGCGAATCCACTGAGATTTGTGCAATAACAGCGTAGAGAATTTTCATCGAGAGAGTGCTTACCAGTTTAAAGCTTCAAATCAAAATGGTACGTTTATTTATTTCTTAATGATTTTAAGAATTAACAGCTCCTTTTCTCCATCTATCATCTTTAGATCCCTATATCATTGTACATGTATACGAAGGATTTCACTCTGCCTTTGTATATTCTTAAATGTTTTATTTTTTATATTCCTAACTCTACAGGACATTTACGAATGACAAAAACAGCTCTTTAGCTTTTTTTCTTCGGTTTTCGTAAATCTGTTTGTGGGGGGGGGGGGAACTTCTGAGTTATCGATAAGTGTTTCATCTAATGCTTCTATCTCTGGGCAGTTACATCTAATCTGCATTTTGTCCTTAATGTTGTTTGCTCTGTTGGTTCTACCTTATCTGCTTGTATCTTTGATGATATTTAAGAAGATTCCTTCGCGATCGTTTTGCCATCCCAACTCATTAATAGTTGGCAGTGTTGAATCTTCATCAGTAAATGGAGAAAATTAATGCATCACCATTTCATATCAAACAAAAACCATGCAATGTCTAGCAGCGCCCCACCCCCCCCCATTTTTGATAAATTCCTAGCTACGCCACTACCAGATACCTTCAACATCACGCTATAGATTCGAAGTCCTGTTATATAAACTTCAATAACGACATACACTTACGCAATCTTCATCGGTTGTTATCGTAACGTCTATCTTTGGTAGAAGCTAAAAGGAATTTCCTGGAAAAAATGTTAATTGATTCCAATTCAAAATAGAAATGTATATTTATATTATTTGTTGATAAAATAACCAAAAAAGTGCCGAACACTTCATATGAAATGTTTCATTTGACCGAATCTTACACTAGCTAATTAAATTATTAATTTTCCCGTAGACTTTGTTGCGTAATCTTCTCCAATTGATGCAATGTTCAAGAAGTGAATAAATTACCTTTCCTTTGACTGTTCCAACAATAATGTATTTACGATCATATTAAGTTTACATTAATATGTGTATGTTTATATTAATGGTCTTAACAATATTTGAGCAGGATTCGATGACTTACTCTTTTAATTACACTGTACTACGCCTGAATATTATTCGGGACGGGGGATATTGTTATTCTCTGTTGTATGTTTGAATGTCTCCTTTTCCCTTTTTTCTGGTTTGTTTTATTATTGTCATTTTATTTAACTTTAATTGATTTTATGCTAATATCTTTTTTTTTATTTTTTAGAAAATGTATCAACCGATCGACTTTGTCTTGCTCATTCTCGCCGCAATGACGTCACAATGCCTAGCTTTCTCTGTTGGAAGACACCATTCTGATGAAAAGGTAGTCTCCGTCATCCAGTCGTCACTACCAAGCTATGAAACAGATTTAAAAAGTAATACAGAATCAGTCGGAATCATGCGCATCAAGAGAAACGCTGACGCATCGAACCTTGATCAGGCGGACACCGCTACCGAAGAGGCCGATGCGACGGCGACTGAAGCCTGCAGGGACCCGTCAGAGGGAGAGCTTCATGAGATGCTGCACGGCATCACGGGCAGTGGTACGGAGAGAAACGAGATCAAGCATTCATACCTTAACAACACATGCCCTGGGTCACCTTTGAACCGTTATCAGGAGCCTCTCAAGTCCAGAGCGCTATGTCCTTTTGTCATGGAGACAGATACAGATGTAGAGAGGTAAAACCTTTTTAGCTTTAAAGCCTCGATCAATCAGCTATGACGCGGTTAACCGCAGCAAAAGAAAAATCCACTTTTTACGTTTAAATGAATAGCAACTGCGCGGCTGACAAAGGTCTTGTGCATTTTTACTCAATAAGATGCCGAAATATGAAGCGTATTTTATTTCATGCCATCATACCAAAGGAATATTGCTGTGGTAGCCCGCTGCATATCTGATCGAGGCGTAAACACCATTAATACTCGAGTGTTAATATCACCAGTTTTTCTGATCAAAAAATAAAATAATTGTAATCATCGTTACCAGTGCTGTAAATGAACCAAAATACAAAACTAAGTTAGTGGATCGATGAAAATCTAAATTGAATTTTCAAAATAGTTTTGTTTGGTCTACGTATTATACGTTCTATATTGCAACGCTGACCTCCTTCAAAAAGTCAAAGAATAGTCCTCTTGTTGGTTGTGATCACGCATCAGGATAAAGAAGGATAAGAGGGAAACAAAATAGTAACGCTAGTATTAGAGACTAGATTGCACCGGAATTAAATATGAATCATATTTCAAATCGTTTGCCTAAGAGGTTTATTTGAATCGATCGAAAGTATGTCATTCAGTTTGTTCTTTGACTTGTTAACGGTCTAATATATAAGGGTTCACACGTGTTCTTCCCATTTGCCTTTAACTCTTTATCTACGCTTCGGTTGCTTGTTTGCTACACGTGCAATTTTGCACAAAACAATAGATACCCACCAATTGACTGAGTGACTGTTTTGTGCTACACAATAGTTTTGCCAAAATACCAATCACCGGTCTTGATAAGCTCCTTGACAAACCTTTCTAACAGCGGTATTGATTAATATTAGAGTAGAAATATTTAACATATCATCTTGAAGTCCTTAGAATATGCATCCCATGATAAATATAATGTAGCACCGGAAGATTGTTTGCTGTGGGATGGAATGAGTTAACGTTGTTACTTTTATTTTCTTGATCTCTCAGATACCCGCAAGACATCCTTTCCGCGAGATGCGCGTGCCCTGATTGTATTAACCCTTACATCAATGACTTCATTAGAAACCCAGGCGTTGACTGCAAGCCAGTTGTACGCGAGATGGAGACGCTTAGACGCGGACAATGTGTGGGTGGTGTCTACCGGTAAGTCCGCAATCAGTAGTAAAAGTTGCTTATCTGTAAGGCTGCATTTTGAGAATGATGTTACTAAAAGTTATTTCCAGTTAGAAATTGGGGAGGGTGCGCGCGTGTGTGTAATGGGGTTTTAATAGACGTGTATCAATCAGATATGATTATTATATGATTATATGATTACGTATATATTATACGTCTAGAGAACGACCTTTAATGTCACCATCCAAAAGATGTGACTCAGTTTCGAACCGGGATGGCTTGAGCCAGTGTGTAGGCGAAGACAGACCAAGTGAACATGCCGCTAGTCATGGCACATCACACTCGACAAAGTCGGGAGTTAGTATGTATCAAGGGGCACTATAAAAACACAAAACGAAAATGCGAGAATATATTCTTTTGAAAATCTTAAGATTTAAATGATATTTCACTTTTGTGGTCATTTTAATCAATACAATAAAATAACTAAATTCTTTAAAGTATTTTATTCCAATTAATTGCTTTCTACTACTGACATGAAATGTGAATTATATTAATAATAATAATAATAATAATAATAATAATAATAGCCTATAGCCTAATATATAATTTTATTTTATTTTATTCGGACGAGCACTGTGTTTTCATCACAACTTGTACAAGTCTTTTTGCAACATTCAAATGTATATTTCTCCCTCTCTATTCTTTTTAACTATCTGTAGTTATGAGAAGCAGACAACCAAAGTTCCAGTGGCTTGTGTATGTGCCAGGAGGCTTGCAGTATGAGGGTTTCAACTTTGAAACAAGAGGACCAACTACCTTATTAAAAATTGTGACTTCATCTTCTCTACATTTCATTTCAAGTGAGGGCGTCCTTTCATTCAGTACTAATACGTGTGCCGTAGGTTATCTTTGCCTTTGTTATTTTATTGACTATTTAAAACGATAGCGTATTGAGAGAGATAGTTGTGACACGCGAATGTATACGTATTCTCGAGATGGGTCATAGGTTAAACAATGGAGCTCTAAATAGCTCCCTCCCGGGTACAATGTGTATTAAAGAGAGGAAACTATTTGTGAACCAATCAGTAGCAACTTCCGGTGACGTAACTATCTCTCTCAAACAGATATGTTTAAAAGTATTTACAAATCCCTTTTAATATATATGATTATGATATACCTGTTCAAAATGATTTCATGTGTATGTACCTCATCGTCTATATGATAGTGTGATTATGAATATATTTATCTATTTATCTATTTATGCGTGTGTGAGTATTTATTTATGTGATATTTACCTCTGTATTTAAAAGATGTCGACATGCGTATATGAACTGCTCCTTCCATGAAAGCTTCGTAGAAGGAAGTTGATAGTGAATTCGGTTCCTGAGTTTTGGGGGCTATACTCCAGGAATAACAAATTCTGTCAAATATTTGTTTCCACGTATTCATATGACACTATCTATGTCTCTGTACTGAGATCTGAGTGTCAGATATAGTTGGGAATTTTGCTGCTGATTATACAGAAATTGCAAATGTTTAATCTTTTAGAGCTTTTGAAACATATTTATATATTTATTCCTGTGTATCAATATCTGTGTTTATAAAATCATTTCTATGAAATGAGAAATTGTGCTATCTACTATGTAATGTTCTAGTTCTTTTATGAACTCACATGTAAACCAAAATGATTGATGTTAATCATAAAATATCATAAGCACTTATAGTGCCTATTTAACGTTTTTGACATATTATGCTATCTACTATGTTATGTTCTTGTTCTATAATGAACCGATATGTAAAACAAAATGATTACTTGTTAATCATAAAACATCATAAGCACTTATAGTGCCTATTTAATGTATGTATCTTAGGAAGCCTCTTTATTCAGGTGAAAAGTAACCCGGTTAATCTATAAAACATAAATGTCTCCCGGTCGAGAATTTGTGCGAACTTTTGAAGAAAATTACAAAAAGGGATGAGAGCATTAGGAAATTTTGATTTGGGCTACGAAACCATCTTATTTCGTTTCTTATGAAATAAATGTATATAAATTATATATATATATTTTTTAAATATACATGTATAATGAGTTTGAATCTTACTAGTATTATACGTTATAGAGGGCGAGGGTAACAACAAAATTAATTATTAATAACTGGGAAATTATTAATAATTTGGTATTTACCTATTTTAATTAAACCTGATATTTGTATTCACACTCTCATTTGGTAATGATAATCAAAAAGAGAGTCATAGCAATTAAAAACCTGGCTACTTTTGACCTGCATGAAGGGCTCCCTCGTGCGGAATTGGGTGTAACCCTTTCGATTGTATTGCTTCCTATGGAAGATTATTGCTGTTGTTTGTATTACACGTAGTGAACATGAAGATATAATGCATGTTCATATAATTTCAATGTTGTATTGATGTCTCCTTCATAATATATAATAAAGAGTCGTTTATTAGGTTGTTTTATTTTTCAGAAGACGATTATGGATATATACATGTAATCATATGGATAAATTCATGTAGTCATTAGTAGACCATTATGGATATATGCATGTAATCATATGGATAAATTCATGTAGTCATATATAGGCCTATTAGTAGACCATTATGGATATATACATGTTGTCCTATGTATTAGTAGACCATTATGGATATATACATGTAGTCCTATGTATCAGTAGACCATCATGGATATATACATGTAGTCCTATGTATCAGTAGACCATTATGGATATATACAGGTAGTCCTATGTATCAGTAGACCATTATGGATATATTCATGTAGTCCTATGTATCAGTAGACCATTATGGATATATACAGGTAGTCCTATGTATCAGTAGACCATTATACATATATCCGTGTAATTAAATCATTCGTATTATAGTATTCAGCAACAATCGTTGTAAAGTACATATTTTTGAAAGTATTTTCGATAAGATCTAGATACAGATAACTATAAAAAGGAAGTTTTATCTGCTAATTTTCAATTGTGTCATAACCATTGCTTTGTTTACTGCTTGAATCACGTAAGAAAAAGCTCACATACCTTGATATTTAATAAACATATATTATGTTCTCCTTATTAAGGAAGTATCATTTTTATTCATCAACAAACCTTGTTAAGTACATATTTATTTTTAATGTTGTGGATAAGATCTAGAGACAGAGACTATAGCAAGTAATTTATGTCTGTTAATTATCGTAATTTTCTAACGTGATATATTTATTGCTATTTTTACTGCTTGATTCACGTTATAGAATGCTAACATACCTTGATATTTAATAAACTTCAATGACCTTCTAAAATTATACGACCGTATCTGTTTTTCAGAAAAATGTTAAAATGAATCTAATATTCAGTCCACGTAATTGTTAAATTGATATTAATGTACTTGGTGATTTGTGAGGATGTGTGTATGTGTGTGTTGGTAGGTTAAATGAAGGTGTGTGCGGGCGTCGGTTGGTGTTGTTTGTGTGGGTGCGTACGTGAGTATGCGTGTGATTGGAGTAGATGTATAGTTCAATGATAACTTCCATCACCCGAAGTTGCACTCGTTCAACGCTAAATTCATTTAACGCAGAACTTGTTCCCTCTCATTAAAAAAAATATATGTCCGATAGCACTGTTTGGTTCTCCATAAATCGACCTTTGACACAACTATACCCCTCCCCATTTAGCTTATGGGGTAAGCTTGTGGGTGTGAGGGGTTTGGGGTGCATTATATGCCATTTAAGAGGAATTATGTGTGTGCGTGTGTTCGATGAGTGAGGGTGTGGGTAAGGCTAGGTGTGGAGAAGAAAAGAAGAGTGAAACATTTGTATCATTACTGGTCATGCAGCGGAGAAATATAAGAGAGTCCACTTCCCCCACTACTACTATGCCTTTATTGTTTTTGCGAATGATAATAATCATAGTAATAAGGATAACGATAATAACCAAAAATTATATTTAATAACATCATTGATAAAAGTAATGATAAGATAAAGGGAATGGTAATAATGACACAAATATATGGATAATAATAATAATAATAATAATAATAATAATAATAATAATAATAATAATAATAATAAAAATAATAACAATAGTAATAATAATGATTATAATAGATAATACTTTTGTCACTGAATTCATTAGTTTCGATTTGGATGTTTGTAAATTTTGTAATCATGTTGTAGTGCCTCCACGGAAAACAGTATCTAACTACTGATGGAGCCAACCTACTAAAAAAGATTAATGCATACAAACATAAAAACAATTAATAATAGTTTTATTTACTAAGGGAATCTTCCTCAGCTTCAAATCTGTTTTTCCCCAGGGACCTGCAATCATTGTTATCCCAGCGATTGTCTGGTATCTATTTACACCTGGGTGGAGAAGGGTAACTGTGGGTTATTGCCTTGCCAAATTACGTTAGTGCTAGATTGGTATTCGAACCCTCAATCCTTGGATCAAGAGTCAAATGAATGAACTACTATACCACCACACCTCCACAATATCCACAATGTCACTAACAACAACAATAACAACAACACCATTAAGGGAGAAAAGAAGATACTGAATAAGAAGAGAGACATGTCATGAGGGAGAAGGAGGCGAAGAAAAAAACGAGTGGAGGATGAGGAAAAAAAAGAGGACGAGGAAGGGAAGGAAATGAAGAAGAAGAAGAATATAAAAGGAAGAAGGAGATGGAGGGGGAGGAGGAGGAGGATCGAAAAGAAGAAGAAGTAAGTGAAGATTAGGAGGAGGAGAGGAAGAAGAAAAAGAATATATAAAGGAAAATGAAGAAAGAGATTACAAGATGGTCAAAGGTAGTTTAATATAAGGTCATAATTCAACAAAATAAAAGATAATTCTGTTTGCTTGTCCGCTTGTTTGTTTGCTTGTTTCTTTTTTGTTATATAGTTTCTCACAGCAAAAAGTCTAGAATGTATAAGTATTTGATTCATTCTGTTATGTTTCGGGAGTCTCTTTTTTTCTTCTTCTTTTTTAAATCTTACTAAAGTGATTATCTATTAAACCTATTGGACCTGGACACAAAATATAGGGAAGTTATTCATTGTAGCCGTTACTGATCTCAAATGGCTCACGATTATAACCTTAAGTAATACGGGAATAACAAATTTGATAGCAAAACAAATAAATGTTAGGCTCAAGTAAAACGTGTAGAGAGATAGAGAGACAGGGGATAAAGGGTGAGGGAGAGGAGAGAGAAATGGAGGAGGAGACAGATAATGGGAATCGAGAGGAGCACAGAGAGAGAGAGAGAGAGACAGAGGGATAAAGGGTGAGGGAGAGGAGAGAGAAATGAAGGAGGAGACAGATAATGGGAATCGAGAGGAGCAGGGAGAGAGAGGGAAAAGAGGAGAAAAGAGGGGGTAAAACTAAGGAAAAAGTAGATGGAGCCGTGATGAATGAGAGAGAAAAGGTAATAATTATGCCAACCAAGAGAGAGAGAGAGAGAGAGAGAGTGAAAGAGAGAGAGTGAGAGAGAGAGAGAGAGAGAGAAGGCATGCAGAGGGATAAAATGAATCATGAGACTCACTGCATGACAAATATACAAGGGAAATAGGCTGAAGAGGAGATAAACGCGACCGAGATGCAACAGATGTGTGTGACTGTGAATATTAGGGACTTTTAGAATTGCCAAACGACAACGTGGATTGCTACGGTCAACGTCCTTTTAATGCACTGCCTTGAATGGACGTCACTCGTATCAGTCCATGCAAATCTAAAAGTCCCTATTTACGGAACTGATTCGAACCTTCATGT